ATGAATATATGAGTAAAATGATGTAAAGGGTAGCAGTTATAGACGTCTTTCTTAACCATGAAAACACACAGTAAATCCTCTCCTTCTCTCACTGGGGTGTGGCAGCCAATCAAGGGCTTGTACATTCACAGCAACAGTCGAGGTCGGACTGGGACATTATTTATTGTTATTGTTGTTGGCACACAGCGCACACAAACCACCACCGCTCTCCTTTCCCCTTCCTCTCCCAGATCTAAACACACACTCACTTTAACGGCTGCACGCAACGCACGCACACACACACACACACACACACACACAAGCACTTTTACAGGAACACAAGGACAAATACAAACATGTACATATACACACACACAAAGACACACATGTACTTACACACAAAGACATTTAACACTTAAGGGCAGATGCACACATAAAACAAAACTGAACCTCACAGGAGTTGCACACACTGACACACACACACACACACACATTTACACAAACAACAAACACTGTTATTACAAAAATGTACACACGCACAAAGCACTGAAGAGACACAGACACATAAAAAGAAATCACACACATTAAACAAAAACACACCTCACACACACATTTGCAGAGTTCTGATAATGCTCGCCACAAAAATCCACTGGAACCAATTACAGTTCTGCTCGCCTCGCAAATCAGCCATCAGTTTTAACCTTTTCCTACCAGAGAGCGCGAAGAACAAAGTCTGACTTCTTCTCTGATAAAACATAAAGAAATAAATAAATAACGCAGCTTGAGCCGCCTTGAGACACCTTCCTTATCAACTCTGAGGGGACACAGAGGGGTTGAAAGGAGCGGCATTCAAGGCAGCTCTGTCCTCCCTGGCTGTCCGTCGCTGACAGGAAGTAGGCCGTGATGTCTGACTGACACCAACAAGGACACATCAAGGCTACTGAGTGAACAGAGTCGAGCCTGTTCATTGGGAAACACCTGAGTAACAGACGTGTAGCTGTGTATTAAAACAGTGATGTGGAAAAACTTGATGAATAATATAAAACTGTAACCTGAGGAGCCTCTGTTGTTCTTTCTTGAATATAAGTTTAATTACAACACAAATCTAATATCAGAGAAGCCCAAAGGAATACTTCACCCACAAAATGACCATTTGTATATCAATCACTCATCATTTGTTACCTTGAATTCCTGAGGGAAACTTGGTTTTCCTACATGCCTCCACAGTGAACGGAGAATCCAAAAAAGGCGAACATTCTCGGTGAAGTGATGTAAACAGGGGCTGCATTTCACAACAGCAAAACTATATCAAAACACCCTTTTACAAACTCTCACACAGCTCCCGCAGTATAATCCAACTCTCAGTTATCCACACATATGCTCAGTACTTCCCGATCACATGCATTTTTGCGGAAACATAACAATATAAAACACTTCCACCAATGAGAAGCACGCCTTAAGCATGCCTGAACACACTTCTCTTGTGCATATGAGCTCCGCCTGAGCAGAGTCCAAATGCACGCATGTGCCCAGGCACGCTACTTAGCTTTGCATGAGACTGTTCGTACGTACATGTTTTAAATCATAATGTTTTAGTGAAAATACTTGTGACTGGGAAGTACTGAGGATACGACTGTGTAAATGAGGCTTGGATTATACTGCGTGAGTTGTGTGAGATTCTGTAAAAGGATGTTTTGATATAGTTTTGCTGACGTCAGTCGCAGCCCCTGTCTACTTCACTTCATTAAGAATGTCGGCCTTTTTTGGATTCTCCGTTCACTGTTGAGGCATGCGAGAAAAACAGTTTTCTCCACAGATTCAAGGTGAAATGTGGTGTGTAACTGATGAACAAATGGTCATTTTGCAGGGTTGAATCTGCTTTCTCAGTGTGGTGGGACACGGTCATTCAGCGTCACTTCTGAGTTGCTGCAGCCCTGTGTTTTGAATTTTTCGTGCCTCCCATCCTCTGCTATTGACTTAATCCTCTCTGGATAAGACAGCAGTTTTTTAGATTGCAGACATCGGACAACACATATTGAGACATCTGGCATTGACTTCTGCATGGACAGCGACATAGAGCAAGGAAAACGTACTGAAAGACGAACGTTGGTAAGCTGGCTGCTAGCATGGATAGCTAGCATAGCAGGACTGTTTACATCTCTGGTGGGCACTGTTATTGTATTAACTGTTTATTGTTATGGTTGGTTTGTTGCCGACACTATGCACAAACAAGCGAAATGCCAAAAAGATATGGCAAGCACGGTGGTGGAATCTTTGAAGAAGAGGTGGAGGACATTAAAAAAATCACTGGACTCTCTGTCTGGAGATATTTCAACTGTCTCCAAACAGCAGAAGCTGATAATGGAGCTAATGGGGGGAAATCAAGTATTTCTTTAAAGTACAGAACAATAATTTTAGCCTGATACAGTATCTACTCCACGTCATTCAGATCCTCGTATCATCACATCACCGAACAAGAGTCAGACAAAGCTCGACTGTTAACTCTGAAGCATCGACAAGGTTGACCTCTTATCATCCAGACAGGCAGAAGCCACTCCACATGAAACATGCTAAGTGGGCACTGATGCCTCTCGGGTCAACTACATGTCAATGCACATATTAAACACTGTTATGAGACAGAATGATTAAAAATGTCCTCACACACGCGACCACAGAGAGATGTGCTAGAAATCACCAATAATTCACATCACTGCATTTTCACAGAAGTATATTTTGCTGATTTCAAACCAGCCAGTCAACTCGATAATGAAACTCTATGTTTGCCTCAGATTACCGATCTATAACAGCGGTCAATTCATCACTCATGCTTTTCTGTCAAACTTATCATCTTGTGGTGATGCAGTTTCAAGAAGAGACCATTTTGAAATCTGTCACTGTTGGTGTCAATCAAAAATGAGCTGACATCTGAGATTTAAAAAGTCAACTGCTGAAAAGCCCCAAGCTTACATTGCCTTTTTTTCCCACAAGATCCAGCGGTTCTTATGGTCTTGCATCTGATTTTACTTTCTGGCACCGTACATCAGCTCTTTAATGCGATGCTTTCTAGCAGCCAACTATGATTTTTGAAATATTGGATCTTCCTCGAATGCACCAGCAAGGAGAGCTCTGACAGAGGTTATATTCCAGCTGTGCTATGGAGAGCAGATAGGCTGAAAAAACACGATGAACTGCACATTGTACAAGTAACCTTGTTCTGCATTTATAAGGACAAACACACAGACATGTGAATGTAAATACTCGTACACATGAACGTACACTCGCTGTCTGTAACCACAAACACGCACGCATGCACACACAACTGTTCTTTGCACCTTGACACCTCTCCACAGATCACATTTCATAGCAACACCAGAAATAAAGTTCCACTGGCAGAGGAGGGCTGCAGAGGAAGGAGAAGAAGAGAGAGAAAAGATGGAGAGGGAGAAAAACCGAAGAGACACAGAAGGAGAGAGATAGAGGCTATCGATCGGTTGGAGTTGGCTCAATCTGGGATTGAACTTTATCACAAACGAAGAGCATCGCAGCAGGAAGCTCTCTGATACGCCTCTAAAGGAGAGAACAGAGGAATGTTCACGCGCTATTCTTCCTTTGCATCTCTCATTCATTTTCATTTCTCTTTCCACCCCCGGCCGTGCCTTTTTAAAGAATTCTTTCTCTCCCCCCCTTTTTTCTTTTTTTTTTTTTTTATCTTTCTTGGCTCTTACATCTTTCACTTTCTCCCTTTGTTTTTCACTTCTCTCTTGTTTCTCTCAGCATCTCTCCCTGCCTTCTATTCCAGCGACTGGCTTATTAGCATTCTCTCTGTACATATAATTGATTCCTCATGCCTTCCTCTTGTGAAAATGTCATTCATAATTCTGTGTGATAGCTAGCTGGCTGGCTTGCTGGCTGACTGAGTGGTTGGCTGGCTGGCTGCGAGGCAAAGTGGCCACTGACCCATTTGTAGCAGATACAAAGAGACTGACAAGCAAATCTGATTATAGCAACCGGACCGGGGCCCCTGTGAAACGAATGGCCTAAGCCAGACTGAGCCTAAGCTGTCATTCATCCTTCTGTGCTTTTTAGTCTATGTGTTTAACCTTTATTTTACCCTGGCAGGTAAATTAACGGCAAATTCTCACTGCTGATGAAGGGTGAAACTGAAGGAGGGAAGGGACTTTAAGGAGGTATTAAAGGCGAAGTACTTGTGCACTCACGACCTTTATTAGTGGTAATGGAAATGAATTTAACTATCAATTAAACAGACTGTGTGTACATGTGTCTGTGTCTGCTTGTGTGAGTGTGTGTGTGTGTGTACACAAGTGTTTGCTTAGCAACTGAAATGAGCAAATGGACAGCTGACAGTTGTATGGCCCAATTTACACACACACACACACACACACACACACACACAGATGTCTATTCTCACACACATGCCGCCATGCACAAAAACAGTAACACATATATGCACACCTAAAGACACTAATTAAACACTAATGGACACACACACACACACAAGCTGAGGAGTGCAGATTCAGTCATATGCCACCTACACAGCCAACCATCAACAAGATCTCAAAGGCACCTGGTTGCAGCTGACAGAGAGGTTTGTGTGTGTGTGTGTGTGTGTGTGTGTACATAACAGGGAATCTCTCAGCCCTAATACCCCCCTCCCCTCACACCTCACTCCTCATGTTACAGTACAGTCCTTATAACTAAACAAGAGAGAGACACAACAGGCTGTAAAAGACAGACAGGAGGACAGAAAGACAAAGACAAGAGGGGAACCAAGAAGCAGAGGGACATAAAGAGAGACACAAGAGAAGAAGAGAAGCAGGGAGGCATGAAGAGACAGAGACAGACAGGGAGCAAAAAGAGGGCAGAGGGAGATACAAGTGACAAGGTGAATCTGAGACATAAAAAGCAACTGCAAGATTGGAGTTGAGGGACAGACATATGGACGGAGAGACAGAAAAAAAGAGTCAGACAGACAGGAGAAAGAGACATAAGGAGGTACTTACCGGATGCCTGCCCTGAGGGTACATGATCCCAGGAGAGGAGAGGCTGCCAGTCCGTTTGATGGCCAGGTTAGTCCCCTGGCCCTCCACTCCTCTGCCCTCCACCGGTTACACAGCCACACAAACACACACACACACACACAAGCCCCCCCCCGCCAACACACACACACTCTGTAAGTCCAGTCCCTGCTCCTTAGCTGGGTTGAACACAACAGTCTATACTCTTCCAGAGTCTGTCTCCTTCTTCTCTTTCCTTGCTCTCCTTCTCTCTTCTAAGGCAAATTCCTGTTGACACACCACTGAAGAGCGCTCAATCCGTCGGTTCCTTTATCCAACAATGTCATGATAAAACGGAGCTCCAGACTTTACCTCCTTCTCCTCCTTCCTCTTCTTTTTCCCAGTGAAACCAAAGTCTCAGTTTCTCCACCTCCTCGTCTTCCTCTCAGTGTCTCTCTCCCTTTCCCTCACCCTGTGATCAGTCAAGGTCCACTCGTAGTGACATGACATCGAGAATTTCATCCAGGCAGGCTTCCCTCTGCTTCTCCTCCTCCTCCTCCTCCTACTCTTCTCCTCGTGCCCCTTCACCCGGCCGTCCAATGGTGAGACACACAAACATAAACACACACTCAGCTCCGTCCAAACAGTCTTCTCCTCTGCTTTTTCCCTCCTCTTCACCCTCTCTCTGACACACTGGAGCCTTGACTGCTGCCGCAGAAAAGAAGAAGAAGGATAAGAAGGAGGAGAAGAAGAAGAAGAAGAAGAAGGAGGAGGGAGGGGAGGAGGGGAGAGAGAGAGAAGGAGAGAGAGAGAGTGAGAGCTTTGTTTTTAATCTAAATGTGGAAAAAAAAAACGCAAGAGGAAAGCAGGAAAGAACAGCAGGTCAGTGGAGGATCCAGCGGGCTTTTCAGCAGCAAGCCCTAGACTGTAATATATTGTGCCTGTTGGCTTCAACACAAACACGACAGGCTGCTAAAGCTCCTCTTAAGGTGGAACTGCGCAGATAGAGACACCCAGTCACACAGAGAGGGAGGCAGAGGGAGGAGAGACACAGAGGCAAAGAGAGAGATGGATCCCTTTTCAATTGTGGTCAGACAGACAAAGCAATCAGTCATGCACAAAGACTTAGGCTCAAACTGATATGAATCGAGATTCACACACACAAACGCTCCGACACTCATACACAAATTCATGACAGCTATGTGGACACACTTGTTACGCAACAAAAACACACACACACACACACACACACACACACACACACACACACACACACACACACGCACACTGATAGTCGCACATACACATGATAGTTGCTCAGAGTGATAAATTTATTACCCAGTTTACACTTTGCATTAAAATGAGCCTTGGATGATTGGACAGCTATCCAATCATGCTTAATCACATAAAATCCAGGTGTAAACACACAAAGGATGCACTGACGAACTGATCTGATCACTGAGACCTCCTCAGGATGTGGTCTGAGACGCATTGGATCCAGATGTTTGTCAACTGTAAATGGATCAATGTGTCAAACCACAGAGGTCACTCCTCCCAAACAGACCAACAAAAGAGCAGTGTTGTAGTCAAGTCGACCAAAACCGAGATCAAGTCATGACCAAGAACAGAGTATATCATGACTGAGACAAGACCAAGACCTTCAGGGGTCGAGACCAAGTCAAGAGCAAGGCCAGAGCAGTACGAGTCACACACTGCAAGACTTATAATAAGATGTGGAACATGCAAACCATAGGCACTCCTCAAAAATGAAGATTCCTCTTCATTCACCTCTTCTATTGCCATTCTGTAGGCAAATATATGCGTATGTATAAGTGCAGCATGAGGCATGTCTTGATAATAATCAAAAGGCATTGCAGAGGTTATTTTATGTGTGGGGAATTTTCCTTTGTTTTCTGTGAGCAAATAAATACCAACACCGTGGAGCTGAAATCAACTTAATCATCTTTATTCATCACTCATTTTCTGCACAGGCAGTTTAGTGATATCCTCACAGTTGAGGTTTTTACCAGTCTTGAAATGAAATAAAATCCCAAGTCCTCTTTGTCTGAGACTGACACAAGACCGAGTCAAAATGTGATCTAGTCCGAGACGAGACCTTCAAAAAGCAGTCTTGAGACCAAGAAAATTTTCAAAGAGCAATGGATAGCAGTAGCATTACTCATAGTTAATCAGGTAGATTTCAATTAGTCTGCATGACACTCCAGCACCACAAAATATCAGACAAACAATGGAGGCATGGGTTTTTGCTTCACATAAATTTTAGTTGCAATAATCAGACTATTGTCTTAATGTGGTTATAATCAAGTGGTGAGCATGCATGCTGTTTGGTTTCTCATGCTAAAAGAGGCAAGAAACATAATTTGGCTGTTGACTCCTGCACTGTCTGGATATACAAGTCTCATGTCACAAGTCACACGTGACAGAAAAACAAGTCTACATTTTAAAAAAAAAAGTGTGTTATTTGAAGTTGTTATGCCCATCTACAGTGACTTAGCAGGTAGTCAGACATCACATTAGCCCCGTCTACACAGTCTGTTCAAGACACCGTTATTCCGCTTTGTTGCTATTTATAAAAGGTACCATCGTGAAAGGGGGCACAGAGTTGTCTTGCCTTTAAGCCAGCAGCGAAGGTAGTAACAGCGTCAAATTGATGTCTGTGTAAAAAGGACAGCAAGCAGGACAGGACCATGGACAGGACAGGTGTGATGTTTGACGACGTGTTATGTGTGCGACCCACTGGCAAGAGATTTAATTTAAAAAGCAGCTAGCTCTTCCTAACGAGGAAGAACAGCTATCAAAAATGTTCTCAAATTGGAGAGACAATGAGGTACGGGAGGTCCTTACCCTCTGAGTCAAGGATGAGATCAACCAGAGCTCTGGCATGATGTCTGAAATCACACACAAAGGCAGCATGATGCTTAAGTTGTTTGGTTCTGTAGAAAAAAGCAAAGGTGGAATCAAGCAGCAAACTCTAGGCTGAAAAATGAAGCCCAAATGAATGTGACAAAAACTGCACTTCTCTGAACGGCTGCTTGAGGCTGGCTACAGAAGCCAGTCAATCCCCATAGACCCCCATGTTAACAACAGAAGTGAACATGTCTACAGCCTGGTACAAAAAACAATTTTGGTCTCTGTTGCTAATTTCAACATTGATGACAACTGTACGGAGGGTGATTTTTTTTGTATTTAACTCAACTGTTTACATGTTATTAAGGCTTAAATTTAAGCATAATTAAGGGTGGGGCACTTTGAGTGTCAGATCCATCCCTCACCAGCCTCTTGCCCAAATATTGTCACTTCTGGCTCCAAAAAAAAAAAAAAACAAGATGGCTACAGCTGACCTGCCGAGCTCGAGTCTTTAAAATGGGAGTCCACAAACCAATGGTCCACACCCATTGTTCATACAGTGTATGGTCATAATTAAGGGACTACGAAGTGGCCCGATCACACAATCTCTGTGTAAAAAGGACTATAAAATACCTTGCTCAGGAACACTGACACGGGACAGTGTTTCTAAAGACCATTCATTCTCTAATAAAGTGGTTCCCAAGTGGTAGATTCCGGTCCAAACGTGGGTCGCCGATCCATTCTGAATGGACCGCAAGTGACTGGCTAACATGTCAAGTTTGTACAAAACTCACTTTATTTTTAAGAACAGTGAATTTCTGGCACAGAGATTTTATTTTGAAGTGCTGCTTCTTGCTGAAGAGTAAGTGACTAATGGACAGCTACTTGACAAAGACAGCAAACTAGCTTGATGACATATCCAAACGCAAGTATGACACTGAATGTATTAAACTGTGTGGAGCTTGAACTAATGACTAAGGAGAAGTCAGGACCCTATGACTGGACCACTGGTCTAATACACACCCCAAATATATTAGATACTTCCCAATATACTGAATAGACCTGCAATGATTAATTGATTAGTTGTCAACTACTAAATTAACTACCAACTAATTTCATTAACAATTAATTGGTTTGAGTAATTTTTTAAGTTAAAAAAAGTCAAAATTATCTGATTCCAGCTTCTTAAATCTGAATATTTTTTTGGTTTCTTTACTCCTCTATGACAGTAAACCAAATATTTTTGGGTTGTAGACAAAACAAGACATCTGAGGACATCATATTGCTCCCGATGGCTGTTCCATCGGTGTGTGAGTGTGTTAAAAACTGAGTAGCAGGTGGCACCTTGTATGGTAGCCTCGGCCACCAGTGTATGAATGTGTGTGTGAATGGGTGAACGTGACTCGTAGTGTAAAAAGTGCTTTGAGTGGTCACTAGATGACTAGAAAGGCGCTATACAAATGCAGGTCCATTTACCATTGGTTATACTGATGTAACTCATACCCTGTGTTGCTTTTCTACCCGTCCCTTGATAGGTGGTCTTTTAGGGGAAAAACACTTGCCACACAGGAAGTGATTCATTTTCCTTCTTCCTCAGCAGCAACAGTGGTTTGTTTAGAATAGACACAAGAACTGGGCAGCCTCCCCACCCAAAAAAAAAAAAAAAAAAAAATCAACAGTCACCAACAAAGTGTGCTACCTATAATAGAAATCTCCCAAAAATGAGCATTTAAGGACGGGGCACACATTGTGTAGTGATATCTGGCAGGACTGCGGTGCAGAAGCATCACAGCGACGTCCACTTACCGCCAAAGATGTCATCAAAATCAATAAGTCGAGTATCTGGAGGACTACCAGTGTAACACCCCACAAATATCGCCACCACTGCGAGATAACAATGTCTCCCTGCCTACTTTTGACTGTTGGCTCCGCTGCACATGTTATTTACAGGACTGCCCAGAATGGACCTGGACCAACTAAGACCTGGTATTTAAAGCCTTTCCATGTACAGTGCAGCAGTCTGGCCCGGCCGTCTTTTGGCGCTGTTTATAATGAGTTTATCCAGGGCAGCTCTGCCTTTGAACTTGATCAAACAGCCATTAATCCGACACTGTAGAATCGGACACAGTCAGTCTTGGCATCCGTGGAGGGTTTCCAGTAAGACACAAACTGCATTTGATAACAAGCAGGTTAGCCAGAGGGCAGCCCCAGAGCCTCAATCAAGGTCACACACAGACATCCTATTATCCAATGCGGTCTATTAACAAACACTACAGATCCTTTTGGGGAAACCTAATGCTGGCTTATGTTACCAAATTAAAACTCAGCTAAGTTTGTTTGAATTCGCTGTGTGACTAATTTTAGCATTTCTTTCAAATATCTGATCTGATGGAAAGTAAGCATTGAGCTATTTTGAGTAAGAAACTATGTAAACATTTGTCTGTATTAGAGGAGATATGAGTGGATGAGTAATTCTGGTTCATCTGGTACTGACAGAAGAAGTCTGGGACATGTAGGGGACATTTAGAGGAAAATATAATTTATACAGTACAGTTTCATCTTGAGGTTGTGATGACAACAGTGATGAAGTCCTTATATTAACAGCATGAGGTCACTGATACGAAGCAGGATGAAACTAGCAGCATGATTAAAGAGTCTATTTGTCAGTGTAAGAGTTTTATTTTATCATTCCCACTTCAAATAATTAACAAATTAATGTATTTTTTAATTGATTTGCTAAATGGTTTCTGCACTCTTTTCCTACATTTACTACTGGGTCCTTCTCTCATATTCAGTCTCACGCTTCATTCTTTTTGTTTCACTGCTTTTAGACTCTATTTCAGATACTCT